GGGGAGGCAATTGTCTTCCCAGCTTACTGTTTTTTTGGAGTGGCTCCAAGGTCTTTGGAAACCTGAGCCTCAGAAGAACCACCCCTAAAAATCACTGCACAGCAGCTTAGCAGTTGCTATTAGTGGTTTTCTTCATGATTTCCAGCTCCTAGTTAGTATTAGGTAGAATGTTGGGGTGCAGGGGGAGAGGTATTTGAGTAAATATTGATTATGTGGAACTGGAGGACAAAGAGGGCTTAGTCCTTTTCTGCGTCTTCAGGAAAGCTTTATTTAAAGGGTTCCAGACAGGCAAATACTTTCTCATCTTTAAACTTGAAATTGTTATTTATATCCAAGTTCTGTGTCTAGAAAAGCAGCCCTTCCCTTGTTGTTTGGTTGGTTTTATTCATTTTATTTTGGCATACCTAGTGTTTGCGGGTAAAGAACTTTTTCATTTAGAGAAAAAAAAAGCCAACAAAATTATAGACCTAAAGCATGGATATTTTTGAAGGTGAGAATTAAAAGAGTGAATTGTATATTTTGGCCAAGTATTATCTAAGAATATATTATAATTCTCTTCATAAGGCATTGGTGGTAACAAATGAAGGGGACTGAGGATGAACTGAGTATGGGTGAGGGAATAGTACCTACTTAAGGGCTGGTGATAATCTGGGTAAAGTATGGGGACTCCAGGAAACAGGGGAAGCCCTCTTAAGTGAGTCATTTGAAGTCACATTTGTAGTCAGGTTTGTGTGGGCAGTGAGCGGGTTTGGGCAGGATGTCCAAACAAGGATTCTGCCCTTATGACTCATTTCTCTAATTCACATCTGGTCTCTTAATACTGCTACGTGGCTTTGCTACCCTTGTTGGGTGACTCTGATTGTATGGAATGTAGCAAAAGTGTTTCACAATTTCTAGAAAGCTCTCAAAAAGAGAACCGGCAGTTGTTCCTTCATACAACTGAAGATTTTAAGATGCTTTTCTTCCACTCATCTTTCACCTAATTTCCTCCAGTGTCTGGTGTCAGATATTCAGATATCCTTTTTCTTTAGGCAACTCCCTCATGTCTCTTCTGTTTTTAAACTCTCCCTGTTATTAACCTCTCTGTCCAGAAGTTTCTTCATAGCCTACAAACTGGATCAATCCACCCCACCAACCTTTTTTAAACTGTGTTTTTAAAAGCCTGGTTTATAAACTATTGTTTCATTGAGACAGTCTTTCCCTCAGTTCATTCCTGAGAGTCCTATAGCCAGGCTGATAAACGCCATCAAAGACCTCCTAGTTACTAAATCCAGGGGACCCTTTGCGTCTTAGCTCTTCCTTGACTTCCTGTAGTATTGGACACTGCCTCCTCTTCCTTTCCTCTTGGAACATTTGTCTTCTTCAGCTTCCATACCATCACCCTCCTTGGATTTTATTCTTGCCTTTGGGAGGGTCGTGTAGACAAGGTCCTGTGGCTTCAAGTCCCATCGCTGCTTTTTGCTTGTTTGCTGGTCACTTGGAGGACTCACTTGCTAAAACCTTTCTGAGCCAGTATGTTTCTTTGTCTGTAAGATGGGATTTCACTGAGATGATCTATGTGAAGCTGTGTGCACGGTGCCTGGCGCATTGCTGCACTCTGTGGATACTAGCTGCCACTCTGATTGTAGGTCACCTTCCCTTTCCTTCTCCTCTGGTCTTTCCACCTCGTTAATATTGTCTTGCATGGTGGCCTCCAGCCTCTACCGAAGTATGCTGACAACTCAGAGGCCTGCTATGGAGAAATGCAAAGCCAGCCATCTTCTTCCCCATCCAAAAAACAGAATCGTCCTAAATAGTTTCTGTCTACCTAGGGCCTGTTTTCGTCCCTTTGTTTATGTCTTCCTTTCCTTCTTTGTGTTGTTAGTTTCTAAGTGGCCTTCTTACCACTCTTGGACAGTCCGTTCCATTGTGTCCACTGCTGCCAGAGGCATATTGCTGTGCAGAGTTGACATTGTTCTTTTCTGCTTGAGTGTCTTCCCGTGGCTTCCTGTTGCCTACAGGATGAGGTCTGCACATTTTAGCATGGCTTTTAGACCCTTCCCCTCCCCTCACTGTGACCTTTCCCTTGTTTTTATTTCAACCTTAACTGCTTGTTCCAGTCTGTTGAAATACTTAACTCTTTATCAAAAGTACCAGATTGGCCTGGCAAATCCACCGGCAACTTTCAAGACTTTTTTTGGAATTTTTTTCCTGAAGTTTTTCTCTTTTCACACTTCCCAATATAGACCTCTCAGATGTGCTCACATTACCCTAATCCAGCCTCTGTGTATACATATTCTACTGCACTTGATTAGTTATATGCCTGCCATTTCATACGTAAGGGATCCTCACTTTTAACTAGTGGTTAGTCTGATACTTTGCATGTGGGAAGCATTCAAAAGATGGTTGAGTCAATGAGTGAAAAAGCAGATGAACTCCAAAGGCATTCAGTCCTAAATTCTCACATTAAGAAAACTGGTGGAGTGCATTCATTTTTACACTGATATTGATCAATTTGAAGTGGGCTTATTAAAGAGAAGCTATAATTTGATCTAAGAGAAACAACTTTTTCCTAACTCACGCTAGTGTTGAAGCGTCGTCATCTCAAATCTTACTGATTTCTCCTTTTAATTATGTTGAACCATACGAAGTTGTCAGTATTCAACCATTCAGTTTCATATGGATTAAGCTGTAGAATGAATGGCAGGGAATCTATTGGTCTTTATGTATGTGCACTCCTTAGATGGGGTGGAATTGGAGACTAGCCTGGCTGTGGGTGGATTTCCCTCTTGGTGGAATGAACAGCTCTGGCCTAGTTTCATAACCTCTCGCGAGACAAGTGGGAGAGAGGCTCCCATTTCCCTTTTTCCTAGTTGGCCACAGTCCCTTGTTTAGCTGATGGTCAGAGGGAGTGAAAGCTGCTGCCAGTGGTGCTTTCAACAGCCTGGGGCCGGGACATCAACCTGGAAACACCTCTTTTTTCTGTTGAATTGTATTCTTTTGGTCTCATGCTCATACCACTTGACTTAGGAGTTAAGGTCATGTGGGGCTTCATGAGGTCAGGTTTTCTGATAAGTTCTGTCATAGCTGACCCTGTTCAGAGGAAAGAACACTATGTCTTCTCTTCTTGAACAATGGTAAGGACTACAATTGAAGAAAAAGTTATTCTGATGCTAAGGAAGACCTTAGTCAAGAATATTACAATATAAGTCATGACTGTTACCACAGGGGAGAGTGATAAGGTTCAACTCCAAATACAGTGAGGACAATTGGGGATTTATAGCCAACAAGCAGAGTGAGGTCAGTGGATGGAAAGTTACAAAGAGGAAACATCAAGTTAGCGGGACTCGTGCTAAACTGACTTAATAGGATTCTTGCTGAAGGCAGGCCAGGATGATAAGATTTCTGGGTGGGGATGAGGAAATTGCTCAGATATAGAGGGTGCTTTAGTTCATTGGGCTGCTGTAACAGAATACCATAGACGGGATGGCTTATGAACAGCAGAAATTCATTTCTCACCGTTTTGGTAACTGGAAGTCTCAGGGTGCCAGCATGGTCGGGTGTGGTGAGGGCTGTCTTCTAGACATGATCGTAGCCTCACATGACAGAGCAGAGAGAAGTCAGCTGTCTCCGGATTCTTACAAGGATGCTAATCTCATTTTGGGGGCCCTGCTTTCATGACTTCATCTAAGGTTCTACCTCTGATTTACCATCATGTTGTGCAGTAGGGTTTCAACATATGAATTTTGAGGGGTCACAGATACTAAGTTCATAACAGAGGGTGATCAGCTACCAAGAGTAGGGATATCCTTCTTAAACTGACTTGGCAAGATTCTTGCTAGGCAGGCAAAGGAGGCCCAAGGATAAGGACTAGTTGAGAAGAGGGCTCAGGGGAGCCTGTTCAAAGTGTGGGCCAAAGAGAGAGTCTTTGTCACTCTCTCCTGGATCCATGAGTGTCACTTTTTGGGAAGTCTAATTTAGTGTCACTAAAGAGAGAAGGCCACTGAACTGACCTTGCCACTGTCCAGGGGAAGTTCTTCACCATGGCTGTCTCTTCCTGTTGTCATCATTTAAAATTTCATTGGTATGTTATTGTTGGCATATGCAACAGTTGGAGGCTGAGGTGGAAAAGAAACTTTCCCTCTTTTTGGTGACTGTGCTTTTGTGCATTTATTATAAGATGCATAAGACTGTAAACTAGGCTAGCTTTACAGTCCTTTTAGCTGTTTGTTTCTCAGTGTAGATGGTACCTTAGCATGAGTTTTGAGGAAATACAAAAACATTTATTAGTAATGTAAATGCAGGGAGCCTCCATTTAGCATGAGATAAACATTTATGGCTCAGTATTAGTAAAGCCTTCTGACTCTAAGGATCTAATTCTATCATTAACTTTTTTTGAAATATTAAGATATTTTAATTATCAAAAGCAGTGTATGTCTATGATAAAGTAATGTGTAACAGAAAGCTTTATGAAGAGTGTCTTCCAATACACCTTTATAAAGTTCTAAATTCAAAGATTTGTATTCTTCTGGCACATGAACTATCAAGTATCATTTCAGGCTTTGCTAGATTGTCTTAAAATCCCTATGTAAGTATACGGAAACAGGACTTACATGAAAAGGCATGTAATAAGAGCATTGCTTAGAATTGAGTACTCAGGATAGGGCATTAAGATTTAATGTGGATTCTGTATTCTTGTAGATCAAAATGCCGTGAGACTTAATTGAAGGGAGCCTGTAAAGAAGTGCCCTCTGTGAACCAGGAGGTGTTGGTGGGATTTGGTCACAGGGAAGAGGGGGCCAGCCATCCAACTGATGGTATTGCAGGTGGATCAGGGTAGCTTTTGTGCTGAATCGGTCCTGCCAATCCTCATTGTAAATGGTTCACTTTCATAAATCTTATCAAATGGTAAATTTATTTAATGACTAAGTATGATCTATAGCAAGCAGCTTCCTGTGTATGTTATTTGCTTTGTCGTATTAGTCATGATATGAATAATACCACTGTGTTTCCTGAATTAGGTTCTCAGAGGCACTGTGACTGACTTCCCTGGATTTGATGAGCGAGCTGATGCAGAAACTCTTCGGAAGGCCATGAAAGGCCTGGGTAAATTTAGCTTCCTCTTTCTAAAAAAATGTGGTATTTGTTTTTCCAAACAAGTCATTAATTACAGTAAGAATAATTTTAGAATATTTGGATCTGAAATCTGTTGGAGAAGAGATATGTTAAGATAATAAAATAATACTATAAACCAAGAGTGTCCAATCTTTTGGCTTCCCTGGGCCACATTGGAAGAAGAATAGTCTTGGGCCACACATAATGACAGCTGATTAGCTTAGAGAAATTGCAAAAAAATCTCATAATACCTTAAGAAAGTTCATGAATTTGTGCTGGGCTGCATTCAGAGCTGTCTGGGCCACATGTAGCTTGCCGGCTGTGGGTTGGACAAGCTTGCTATAAACCATCCCTAATATTCAGTCTCTAGAACTCAACAGGCAGTTAAATTCAGCCTCTCTGCTTTTCAGCTTGTCATCTTCACCTGTCTGGTAGAGGCCTGAGTCCATAAGGCAGCCGTCCCTGCATGTTAGCAGCTCTGTTTCCAATCAGTTATTCCATTCTCATTCTGCAAGCCTCTTCTCTTTCCCCAGCCTCTTTTCCAGTCATTTAAAGGATTCCCATGTGTCACTGATCTCCTGTGCTCAGCCTCCTTTGTACTACTGTTCATGTGCTTCCTGGCCCTCAAGTCCTTCCATTGTATCCAGCCCACCTTTTCAGACTCATCTCCTGTTTCTGCTTAATGTATTCTCAGACACAACCATGCTGGCTTATCTGCTGTTTATGAAAGCCCTATATTTCCTTCCCCACTGCTGAGCTTTTCTTTTATTCTAAAAGCTGTCCTTCCTTTCATCACTGCCTTTCACAATCCTTCCATCCTTCAAGACTGTTTTGGGTGTCACGTTCTCCGTGAGGCATTCTCCAAGACTCCCTTCCCCCTTCTATCAGCTAGGAGACCTTTCTTTGAATCCCATTTAACACCTAGACCTTTTCTGAGGCACTTATCACATTTTGCCTTAGCTCATAATTATTTGTGGGTTTTTATATTTCTACCTTAAATTGTAATTTCACGCCAGAGTCTCTATCTTTCTCTTCTCTCAATCCCCTGTAACACCTAGCACATTATGCCTTATGAATAACTTATTTCAGTATCTGTTGCATGAAAAACTAGGTGCACTAAGTCTTTTAAAAGGCAGTAGTATTTTTCCATCTACTTTCTAATACATTGGGAATGGGGGATAGAATATATTGGAAACAACATTTTATGTATTATAAATTTTTAATAAACTGTTGAGTAAAACATTTATGTGGGGGTGTGTGTGTATACATATATGGGTTTGTGTGTGTGTGTTTGTGTGTGTGTGTGTGTGTGTGTGTGTGTGTGTGTGTGTCTGTCTGTATGTATGTATGTATTTTTTTTTTAAGAGATGGGGATCTCACTATGTTGACCAGGCAGGTCTCAAACTCCTGGCCTCAAGCAATCCTTCCATCTTAGCCTCCCAAAGAGCTGGGATTACAGACGTGAGCCACCATGCCTGCCATAAAATATATTATATATTCTCATAGGGAGAGGCAAGGAAATAAGGTGACTGGGAAGTGGGTTGTAAAAATCATTAGGAAAGTATGCACGCAGGAGCCAAAATGTAATTATTAACCAATTACAGGCACAGATGAGGAGAGCATCCTGACTCTGTTGACATCCCGAAGTAATGCTCAGCGCCAGAAAATCTCTGAGGCTTTTAAGACTCTGTTTGGCAGGGTAAGACCATACTTCATCCCAAGAGAGAATGAGGGAACAGCTATCAATTAAAAGACTAATTTGAAATATACTGGTATTCTTTTGTAAGCATCATTTATTTTGTGATTCCGAGTTCCCTCTATCTGTTTCTTTCCACTCTAAATTATCAGCTCTTGGGATACAGTGCTCACCCAATGTATCCTCACGTAATTGTTTTTCCTTGCCTAATGCTGTAGAGGTGCCAAAAGATCCTGTGGTGAGAAATCTCCCTTTTCTTTTCCTCTGTGCTTCTCACTCACGTTCACATGCATGTCTTACTGTCTCTTTTCTAGGTGTAAGCCTGTATTACAGTATGTTTTGTTTTAACATGGTCACAAGTCATGGTTCCTCTTGTCATGATTTTAACTAATGGATTTTTAATTAGTTGATTTAAATGCTTTTATTTGAGTAACAATTCAAACAATTTTAAATTTATTACTAAATGAATTAGTGCATGCATGAAAAACTTAAATGTAGTCTTGTTGTTCTGAAAACATATGTCACTTAATTGAGAAAACAAATGCAAAGCAAAAAAGTATTCTAAACACCATTTCTAGTTGTGTGGTGTGCTGAAACTTGTGTGTAGGAAATATTGTTTTATTTTTTTCATAATTACATATATAATTTCCCCATAGGAACAAATGTTTCTCAGTGGTCAGGAGTCATAATAATGACTGTAATCTATTATGTATTTGAATATTATTAGATATTGAGAGAAAAGAAAAACTTATTCTATTTGGGTATGAGAGACTAAATGTCCTTTGTAAAAATTCATTATATGATTATTTTTTAGAATTAAAAAAGGTATGTTTCTCAGAATAGTATTTTTAAAATAAAATCTTCTTAGCCTACTTTTAAGGTATTCATTTTTTTTCAATTTAAGAAAATCATCTTTTAAAAACAAACATCTTGACATGTAAGTGGGTTTGCCTTAGTTTAAGCTGTTGGTCACAGGTTAAAGGTGTATTATTCAAGGTTATGGGATTTTCTTTAGCTCATGGGCCTTCTACTTGGAGACAGCAACATAAAGAATTCATTAGAGCAAAGGGCTGTCATTCATATTTAAGAAGAAGAATCTCATTACAGTTTCTGCTGGTTAACAAGTTTGTCTTTTCTGTGAGTTAGGATCTTCTGGATGACCTGAAATCAGAACTGACTGGAAAATTCGAAAAATTAATCGTGGCTCTGATGAAACCCTCTCGGCTTTATGACGCCTATGAACTGAAGCACGCCTTGAAGGTAAAAAGGATGAGTGAAAGGAACATTTGTGTCATAAATAGTATTATGTTGTTTTGGTAACGACTTCATCTTATTTGTTGTATTTTAAAAATTTTAGCTGATTATTTCAGTGAGAGATGCTTGGAAAACAAAACTGGGAGGCAATCAGCAGTGAAGGAGGGAGAAAATTACAAGTGTGCCATTTCATTTTTTTGGCAGATTTAAACTCAATAATACTGGCTATTTAAAATTTTAATATTTTTGTGGCTTCTTGTATTTTATTTTCATGCCTATCTTCTGATTTTGAGAGTGTTTAAAAAATATTGCAGATGACCTATTTTATCTTTTTAAATAGAAAATTTCCTGATTAGGGAACAATAATATTACTTAACATTTTAGGTTAAACGGTAAAGCTTCAGAGAGAATTTTCAAGACAAAGATTTTCTCATACTTATTCCTTCTTTCCTATTCTTCTAAACACTAAAATGAAGTTGCTGGTAAGCTGCTTCATTTTAAGTGTAAGCCTATTGCAGAGAACTATAATTTCAGTTGCGGCAAAAACTAAATGTGTATTCCCTTGACTGGTGTTTGGAATGTTGTATAAGTAGGACAGCATTGGCACATTTGTTTAGCCTCATGGGACAGGATGCAGTTCAGTTATTAGCGGTTAGATTTTGAATGGGCACGTTGAGATTTAACAAGGAAAGAATGTTTCTCAAGGATTCTTACTTATGGAGTGGAGGGAGGAGAAGGGTCATCCCCATAGGGCCTAGTTTGTGCTCAGTCTCTTCGTTTTTCTATGGTGATTCTTTTGGAATAAACAAAAATCTTAGGTTATTGAGAGAAATACTTTCTTACTAAGTGCTTCTGAAATGTCAGCAGTAGTTGAAATTCTGCCAGAGAATTAACTCTATGTTTTTCAGTGCTTAATTTTTGGCAAAATACAGAAATAGAAAGAAAATAAGGCTTAAATATGCTGTCTTTTTAAAAAATTTAGTTCAGCCGTATTGTTGCATCTCCTAGTTTAATGATACAGATATGATTTTTAAAAGCAGAAAAAGGAAAGCCAACTAAAATGATTTTTCAAAAATCCAGAAAGCAAGTTGCAATTCCTTTTTACTGTTCTAATTCCTAGTAACTAGGCAATGCTGTATTTATTGCTACCTTTGATGTAAAATTCCCTTGTGACTGCACAGCACTTAACTTGGGGGGCAGGGGTTTATCTTTTGAGGTGCATATCATTTAAGTATCAGTGCTCTTCCATGTACATTTATGTGAAGTTTTCATTTTTACTCTTTCAGTTTTTAAAAAATTACTTCATGTTTCATTAAGATGTTTTACTTTTAAACTAGAATTAACTGATCAAATTAAAAGTTACAAATCTATGTAACTGGTTATTTATATGTACACATATGTATATACACATATATATGATAAACATTGTTTTCCATTAGACAAAAAGAATAAAACGGTCTTTGGAGAGAAAATTATTTAACATTTCTTATTTCTATAACTAATAGAACTCATATACGAAGAAGTCCATGTTATACTAGATAATATTGATATAGCCATGCAATTAGGGTAACATCTATTCTGGGAAGATAACTTTCTTTTTAATCTTACTGACAAGTTTTCTCTATTAAAATCTCCAAACAGGGAGCTGGAACAGATGAAAAAGTACTGACAGAAATTATTGCTTCAAGGACACCTGAAGAACTAAGAGCCATAAAACAAGTTTATGAAGAAGGTAAATGTTTGTGAGTTACATTTTGCCTTCACCTCCACTGTCACTTCCTTCATTTCTCTGATTTGAATGTAGTCCTTGTAGGTACAGGAGGCAGGCAGCAAATGATGGTTGAATGAATGAATGAATGAATGACCTGCAATTCAAGCTGTTTTTCTCCTTCAGTAAGGAAAAGACTGCCTTGTTATTCTCTACTATTTTAATATTTTATAAGAACCTGCTACTGAAGATGGAGTTTACTTTTGCATAGGATTTGCAATTAGGGTAGGGATGCACCGGTTGTCTTTATGTTAACATTAAGGTAAAAATGGTTTTTCTTTCTTTAAAAAAACTTAGTTTTATATTAGTAAAATTTAGGAGTTATATAAAAAGTACTTTTCGAACTTTGGAAAAGAAACCTAAACCCTTTCCCACATCAGAGTTGATAAAGTACATTTGAGTAAATGTATGTTGTCTTAGCTAATGGCAGTGCTTGAATGAATAGTCTGCATGTTGATTTTTCTTTCCGGTGTGCCTTTTTCATGCACAGAAATCTACATTTCAGTCTAAAATATGTCCCATGAATAGAATCAAGGAAATGAAAAAAAAGGTAGAGGTAGGGAGTCCTTTTCTTACAAGATTTCTTGTAGCTGACTCTTCTGCCTGAGAGGGTCATGCTATCCAGTTTCTCAGCTCAGTCTCCAAGCCTTGTGTCTTTTGGTAGGGGCTGCATCTTGCCATTTGTTTGTTAATCTTAGAAATAGCCTTGTTAACCCAGCAAGTCAAAACACTGTGATTGTTTAGAGCAACTGAATAATTACCTTTCTAAAGGGCGGAATCTCTCCCACCTGCTTCTCTTTTTTATAGGTAGTAAGTTCCCAGCCACCAAGGCAGAAGTGATACATGTATCTCAACTTTCAACTTTATTTGATGTACTATTCAAAGACCTTTTTCTGGGGATGTTGACGTTGATGAGAGCCTTTGTGCTACTGGATTACAAATGGTGTGCTGATAGGGGGTAATAACTGTGTGGTCCGTCCTACTCAGCTGTGTAATTGAGCACTGGCTGTGTGTCTGGCAGTGTGTTGGCTGTCATGAGCGACAAAAGGTGTGAGCAGTTTGCATGCAGTCTCTTCAGGGCTTTACATGACAGAATGACTACAATTGTTAAAGGATAATAAAATTCAAACTAAAGTAAAATACCAACAATGTTAAATGCAACAATGCATTCAGAAGAGAGAGGTCATCATAGCTTTGGATGTTAGAGAGGCTTCGAGGTGCAAATCACACATGCAGCAGACTCTCAAGACTAGATAAGTTTACTTGGTGTCCATTGACAGATGAATAAAGAATACACACACACACACACACACACACACACACAGAAGTATCATTCAGTCTTAAAGAGGAGAAATTCTGTCATTTCAACATCATGGATAAACCTGGAGGGCATTATGCAAAGTGAAACAAGCTAGGCACAAGGCATAAGCTATGCATGATCTCACTTCTTATGTTGAATCTAGAAAAATCGAACTCATGGAAACAGATAGTAAAACAGTGTTTGCTAGGGTGTATAGGGGTGGCATGGTGAATGGGAGAAGGGACTGGTGAGATATTGATCAAAGCTCACAAAATTTTAGTTAGGCAGGATGAGTAAGTTGGGGGGATCTAATGTACAGCATGGTGACTGTAGTAAAAGATATGCTTGAAATTTGCAAATAGAGTGTATTTTAAATGTCCTGACCACACCCAAAAATATAGGCTATATGAAATGATAGGCATGTTGATTAGCTTGATTGTGGTAATCACAATGTACACATACATCAAAATGTGTTGTATACTTTAAATATATACAATTTTTATTTGTCCATCATAACTCAATAAAGCTGGGAAAAAATACTAGGTGCATTTTGGGTAGGTAGAAAAGGTATTTTTAGTTGAGGTACTGCCTGTCTTGGCATGGAGACAGGACTGTGGAGAGTGTATTGAGGGATGGAGACAGCTTGGCTGTCAGGGAGGATGTGTGCACGTCCATTGCTGGAGGTAAATGGAACAAGTGACGTTAGGCTCGGGTGTAGATGGTTTTGCATGACTGGATTAGGATTTTGGACCTAATGCAAAGGCACTGTAAATTCCTGAATGGGCAGTGAAGTGTTGAAGGAACAGTTGAGGGAGGAAGGAGACTTGACTCAAGACGGGGTAGTTATGTGGGTGGGGATGTAAGCTAGGTATTTAGGAATTATGGCCCAACCCAGGTTAGTGAGAGGTGTGAGGAGGGTAAATCAGGGACAGGAGAAACATGTGACAGGATTTGATGGTTAATGTATACAGGTGTTGGTGTAGAAGAAGGAATTAAAGATTCCTACAAGGTTTTGTATTTGGGTAACTGGTTAAAATAAACATGTAACTCTTCTGGGCCTTTTAAAATAGAATTTTCAGGCTTTTAAAGTTCGCTTGCTTTCACATAATGATTAAATATTTAAATACCTTAGAGGAAGGCCTCTTTTCCTTTAATAGCAACTATTCGAGAGTAGTGAGAAAGACTTGTAGATTCTTGTAGATCCCAGTTCTCCCCTTTTTTATGGCCTTAGGTTTAACAGCTGGAAATAGAGGTAGGAGGGGCCATACTTTAGAATATCATTGCTGTCTCTCAGAGTTAACTTTGTTTCTGCAGAGAAAAAATATCTTATTAGGGGGAGTGATGGCCATGCCTAAAGAAATCTTAGAACATTGGAGAATGGAAGACATTAGGAGAATAACCATGAAAAAGATTTGAAAGAAAGCAAAACAAAGTTTAAGCTTTTGATTAATTGTATTTAGGAGACTTTCCATTACCATGATGTGTCTATAGATTAAAGACTACATTGGTCGAGAGAATTTCTAAATGGCTGAGTCTTGATTTAAGTTTGAATTGAGGGCCTTTAGGAGACTTCATTTTTTTCCAACTACTCACTGAAAGGATTTGCTTAGAGCATTCAGAGATGGAATAGAGGGAATTTATGTTAACCAAATACAATATTTCTTCTTTTATGTCTCTTTCATTTGATTAATGGGGCAAGATTATTTTTCTAGTTGAAAGAAGATGTAAATAAGTATGAAATTATTTTGTTGCAGAATATGGCTCAAGCCTGGAAGATGATGTGGTGGGGGACACTTCAGGGTACTACCAGAGGATGTTGGTGGTTCTCCTTCAGGTATTGGGTGGAGATGAATTACGGTTTGATTAAAAAGCCTGAGATTGAACTGGGCTGAATCTAGTGAAGTAAGGTCACTTAAAATTCTTTTAATAATTTTTGGTACTTGCTGATTCCTGCTGCAGTGATTCTGGCGGTATGTCGTCTGTGCTTGTTTGTATTTCAGCATATCTGGTCTAAATTCTTAATAGCTAACTCATACATTTGTTTTAGATAGCAGTATCTTGTTTCTTTCATAGAATGATAGCAGTATCTTGTTCCTTTTATAGAATTTAAAATCAGGGGGGCCATATTGGTTTTAGACAGTGCTGTATGATGACAATGGGAAATAGTGCAGGATTGATCTTAATAAAAGCATATTATTCCTAGAGAAAGAGTTTTATTGCATAACCATCAGGTGGAACCACTTTTCCTTTTGAATGAGAATGTTCTATAGTTCAGTAATGTGATATATTACCTCTCATAGGCTAACAGAGACCCTGATGCTGGAATTGATGAAGCTCAAGTTGAGCAAGATGCTCAGGTGAGTGATGCCCAGGATATGATGACTTCATTATGCTGTAGAAATGAAGAAATAATTCGTGGTAATGAAAAATCACAATGTATGTTATAGTAGCCTCTAGTGACAATCTTGTTAATGGGTTCTTTACATTGCATAACACCTACATAAGTAGCTTTCTCTTATTCTGATCTGGTCAGGAAAATATTTTACCCCAAAGCTAAAATGCAATAAAATATATTATATGAGTTCCAACTATCTATCTTATTTTTGGTGATTATTGAACATTCACAAAATAGAGAATTTTACAAGAAAAGAAAACAGGTGTTATTAATTCTACTGCCAATTATACAGTGGATGTCTTAGCAGGAGAAAATGAAGAAAGAATAAATTATTTAACAGTAAGTAGTGTTATAAGAGATGACAAGTTATTTTGGTATTAGGAAATTTCTCTGCATTTCCTTTGACAGAATTTTAGGTAGGATTGGTCTTTTGTCAGCTGCTTTATAGTGACTCCAAATGAAAATTTCCACTTAAGTAACTTTTAAATCCTTATAAAGGCTCAGTATGGTTAATAAAACAGTTATTAAAATACAGGAAAGGAAATTTGAAACATGAGAGTTGAAAACTGGAATTTGGTAATAAAGGAATTACTTAGGTTCCTAGAACCACCAGTCATAGACCTCTTTCTGATTACATGTTTCAGTTAAGAGAATATCCGATTCTTGGTTGGTTATCACATATCATTGAAAAAGGAACAGCCATATTCACCTGCATTGGAACAACCTCTGGGTATGTGATCACACTTTGCTAACAGAAAAGAGGAGAGAGGTTATTCTTTTGGGTAGGTTGATTTTAGAATGGCTGCAAAATGCTGTCTTCTCTGTCTAGCTGGAGAGAGAAAAATAACTGAATGTTTACTGAGGGCTCTCTCTGCAGTACTTGACGCTTGCTTCACTTTGTCCTAGAAAATGCAAGCTAATTGTGTCCAGCCTCTGATTATAACATTCAGTTTCTTGAATGGGTTATGAGCCCCTTTGTTATCTGTGTCTTTACTTATGCCTCCAGCCTCTCTCACATACCTTGTTTCTGCCCTCTTGCCCCTCCCACACCGCTTTACCTGAGTCCTCTTCAAGAGTCAGTCTTCAGCTTAGATACTTTAGAGTTAGGTGCCCCTTATAGGGAAAACCATAGCCCCCCAGGCTTCCTGTCGCAGTTCTTGCCACCTTCTCTGGAAGCCACCTATTTACTTGACTGCCTTCCTGGGCACTCTGAGCTGTCAGTTCAATTGTATCCTCAGCTTCTGGGATAGTTTAGGTGCTCAGTAAATAACTGATGAATGAATGAGCACTTAACTCTACCAGAGAGGGGCAATTTCCCTTTTATCAATAGGGAAATAAGCTCATGGCTTCCACTGAATAGCAGTGGAGTTGGGATTCCTAACCAGGCCAGTCTGACCCCAAAGCTCTTTCTCTTTCACTATAAGATAGTCATTGTTCTTGAATATTAATATTTCACTGTAAGATATTTCACTATAAGATCTGAATAGTAATATTTCACTGTAAGATATTCAGTGTTCTTGAATATTAGCACCTTCTCTGATTTTCTCTGTCATTAAAGGATTTATTAAATATTGATTGCAAGCATAGTTACAGCTTAACTTCACCTTCTTTCAGGGAAAGGGCTAGAGCAGCCCTACAAAGTTGTACTCCTGTTAGGAGCTTTGTTCAGTACTGAGGTTATCTTACTGCTTTCCAAACATTGCTTGTGGCTTTGCTAAGAGACAGTGCTGATTCTGTCATTCCTACTCTCAAGGGTAGGATAAGAGTTCTGGGAGCTTTTCAGCGGTCTTAGTGTAAGAAGCCAACTCTAGTCCTCTCAGATGTCTGCAGTGAGGCCTGCATTTTTGAACAGAGGGCAGATTTCCCAGCATAGTCAGTGATGTAATGAGAGCATTGCGGCAGTGTGAGGCTCCTGAGGGGAAAACAGTACATTTTAACCTTGTTTTCATAATTTCCTTCCTCGGAGCACTCACTGGATAGCACTGCTGCTCAGACTTTCACGGGCCTGCGAAGCACCTGGGTACCTTGAACTGCAGATTCTGATTCAGTGGGTCTGGGTGGGGGTTGGGAGTCTGCATTTTGAACACACTCTTCAGGTAATGCCTGCATCCTTGGTACTTTGATTGCCGAGGTTGTATAGGTGACACTTACCTGTCATGCAGTAGATATAACCATTCACAACCCTGAGAGTGCATGTGAGACTGTATATGTGAAAACTGCTTTATAGAGTTACTTTAAAATATCCCTTGAATGGAATCCAAGCTTTTCTTAGCCTCCAGTGACCAGGAGCAACACAGAACATGTTACACTGGCTGTTAGTTTTTGATTCTTTAAAATGTATTGTTATTAACTAATAAACCCGTTGAAAACAAATCATCTTTTAGCATTATAAAAAGGAACACACCAACTTGTACCTCGTAGCAAGGGCAGCTAGACTGTTATCACTAGTGAGAATTTGAGATTTCTTAATTGAGAGTAAGCTGAGACAGCTAAAGGGCCCTTTCATAAGCTTTTGCATTTTTTTCTCTACTGATACCTGGCACTAAGAGGATTTCTATTACTTGAGAGGTTTGATAAGCCATAGTGAATCATTCACTTGGGAACTGAACATTTTGTAGATAATCCAGTTTAATTTTTAACAGTTTTTCATGTGTTAAACGGATTTAATATTTTTAATGCATTAAAACAGATTTTATCTTCTTCCCCAGTAAGTCCTTGTTTTGTGCTTTCTCTGGAGGGGGAGTTGAACTCTTAGAGGAAAGAGGGGGAAGGAGAAGGGAAGCAGTTTACCGGGCACTTGCTACTGAGTACCTGACATTGTTCATTCAAAGCATTATGTAGGTTATATAATCTCCATTAGTGACTATGCATATATTCCTACTCTGCTTGTGAGGACCTGAGGCTGAAGAGGTTAAGTAGTCCATCTAAGATCTCGCAGATAAGAACAAGGACCACATCTATTTTGACTGAAAGCCTTATCCTTTGCATTGAACCAGGGCTTATCAGACTATACTTAGGCTGAACTGTAAAGCTGAAGGAAGGGATATAAGGGTCCCTCATCCAGATGGATCCATGAATATTGGGCATTCTCCTTTAGAAGAAAGCATATTAGATTGAAACAAAACTGTTAAATATCATTGTTTTATATGAAGAAGCCATCACCATTATTGTGTATTACTTAATAGTAGTTTTACAATAGATATTGATCCCAAACATAATTCTCCCAAGAAAATTAAAAGATTATGGTAAAAAATAGTTGACATCTCACTAATTATTCCTATACAGGCTTAACTCCTGTACCTACTAGAGAAGATTTCTAGACATTTAAAACAGTTGATAAGAAGTGTGTGCATCAATGTCTGTGATATTGTACAAGATGCATCCCTCACCCATTTGGGTGTTAATATATTTGAATATTTTATCTGCATGTAGGAACATACTGGAAGCAGCAACCGGCTCCCTCAGGATATTGATATTAATAGTAACTTTTTTTTTCCCTTTCCCTTCCTCCTTCTCCCCTTCACCTTCCCCTTCCCCTTCCCCTTCCTCTTCCCCTTCCCCTTTTTTCCTTCTCCTTCCCCTTCCCCTCCCCTCCCCTTAACTTTCCTTTCCTTTCCTTTTTGCTCTTGTTGCCCAGGCTGGAGTGCAGTGCCACCATCTGAGCTCACTGCAACCTCTGCCTCCCGGGCTCAAGTGATTCTCCTGCCTCAGCCTCCTGGGATTAGCGGGGATTACAGGCACCCGCCACCATGCCCAGATAAATTTTGTATTTTTAGTAGAGACATGGTTTTGCCATGTCGCCCAGACTGGTCTTGAACTCTTGGGCTCAAGTGAACTACCTGCCTCAGGATTCCAAAGTGCTGGGATTACAGGCTTGAGCCACCATGCCTGGCCTGCAACCTTTATTTTCTTATTTTTTTTTTTTTTACAAAATTTCTCAATGAACTTGTGTTGTTTTCGTAATTAGATTTTAAAAGTTATTTTAAGAAAGGTCTGTGTCATCATGATATAGTTCTAAAGTTTAGATACATGCATGATTTTCATAGTTACTATCTTTTCAGGTCTGAAGAACATGTTCACATGACCGAATTGACATTATTCATTTTTATGACTAAAATAATTATTTTTAAAATTGACTTTAAAGATACGTCTCATTTTTTTCTTATTCTCCAGAAATGTAATAAAAAGTAGATCTTTATCACCATAATCTATGTTTTTAAGCATACTGTGATCAAAACATCTGTATCCAAACCCATTATTTTACTTCCTGTCTTTATTTGGATTACTGCTTGGGGGCGTAAGGCCAACTGCAAATAGCAACCTCAGCAAATTCCATTCTTCTGCTTTAATATGTATACTTAGTTTGAAATGAATAAAAGGATAGTGTAATCATTGGAAAGATTGATTCTTTTGGTTTTAATAAATTATTTACATCTCAATAAGTGGATTCAGAGTTGATGTTGTGTATAAGCTTATTTTTTAGGCAGTTATGTGAACACAAGAAAGCATATATTTTTTTCCCATGTCAAAAAGGAAGTATGGGCACTCAAAAGAGTCAACCACTATTTATTGAGTGTTTCCGTATGCCACACACTGTGCTATACCTACAACCTTTAAAAAGTTTATTGTGATCTTTGGGAATACAAAAACATTTTATAGCTAGCCTTGGTTAAATCTCAGTTATGAAGAGAAAATATGAAGTGTACTCTTAATCATGTGCTATTGAACAACTATAGAACAAGCAAAACAGAAAAGGCAGACAACTTAGCTTCCAGTTAAATCCTTTCCCAGTCTGTAAATAGATGTATCAACAGTGAGGGAGTCATAACTTTCTCTTGACCTGTACTGCTGCTTCTGAAAGAGTAGAGATTATGGCAGACGTTTTGGGAACATGTAACCTTGTAGCATTGCCGTGCGTTGTTGCTTGGACCCATTAATCTTCTGTGGCACAGTTCAGTGGCAAGCTCCAAAGTTGCTCTAAACTCAGTGAGCTGAGTTTCAGAATAGGAAACACTAGAAATAAAACTATTAATATAAGATGAATCAAGTGAATTATTCAGGGAGTAAAAAGCAAGTATGATTAAGAACCTGGAAATGAGATGGAGGAACAGTTCATTAATTGAGTTTGAACTTTTTGCAGGCTTTATTTCAGGCTGGAGAACTTAAATGGGGGACAGATGAAGAAAAGTTTATTACCATCTTTGGAACACGAAGTGTGTCTCATTTGAGAAAGGGTGAGTGAAAAAAAATCCGTATGGGGCAGATACATTGGTAAATTTGGAAAGTACAGTGTGCCAGTGTGCTGGCTATGTAGCAGGCAGTTAGTGAATGAATCAGTTTTTGTATTTATTCCTTCTGGTGACTTGGAGAAATCTCACATTCTCTTTGCTGCTGTAGCTTTTACAAACTAGAGATCATTAGTCCACCTTTCACTATGGGAGGGTGGCAAGGAAGATCAGGTCTCTAGATTCTTCCTCTCATAGTCACATATCACTGAGCAGCAACTCACTATAAGTATATCCTCCTAGAGCTTGGTACCCACAGCCTCATCTCTGGATAGTCATCAACACTTTTGATGTTAGTTTAGAATGAATTTAGTGCAAGTGACAGAGAACCCTAATAATGGCTTTAAAAACTGGACTTTTTTCCGGAGGTGGGATTCCGTGGTTGATTTGGCAGGACCTGAGATCTTTCTGTTTTTTTTTTTTTTGTTTTTTTTTTTCTCTATTATCCCTAGTTTGGTTTTATTTCTCATGTTCATTTCTTCATTATCACAAGATGTCTGCTCTACCTCCAAACTTAACTATTTTCATAGCAGGAAGGAAAGGAAAGGGTAAACTAGTCATATCTGTGTATCACTTTTTATAAGTGAAGAGGTTTCTCAGCATCCCCTCCAGTAGATTTACCTTTAGGTCTCATTGGCTACAACTAGTAAGGAGGCTGGGAAATCAGTGAACAAGGTATGCTTGCAATCCATTGCTTAGGGTTGGGCATGCTGAGGCTCTGAGCACAGGTTCAGTCAGCAAGGAAGAAGGGGAGATTCGTGTTCGGTAGGACACTACCTAATCAGAGTAAATGTCTTCTTTCTGAAAAGAGTGATCCTATGTGATTAGGAAATCGTTTTCATTTTTTCTAGTGTTTGACAAGTATATGACTATATCAGGATTTCAAATTGAGGAAACCATTGACCGGGAGACTTCTGGCAATTTGGAGCAACTACTCCTTGCTGTTGGTAAGTGATTTACAATGTATTGATATTTTTGTTGATAAGAGCTAAAGTATTTTATTCGATTGAGGCTGCATCTGAAAATAACCACCTAGGTATGAAGGGAAGAGCTTGATATGATATTCGGATGAAGCAAACTTCTAAATTTCCAATTCAGAAATTTATTTTTTTATTTTATTTTATTTTTTTTGGAGACGGAGTTTCGCTCTTGTTACCCAGGCTGGAGTGCAATGGCGCGATCTCGGCTCACCGCAACCTCCGCCTCCTGGGTTCAGGCAATTCTCCTGCCTCAGCCTCCTGAGTAGCCGGGATTACAGGCACGCACCACCATGCCCAGCTAATCTTTTGTATTTTTAGTAGAGACGGGGTTTCACCATGTTGACCAGGATGGTCTCGATCTCTTGACCTCGTGATCCACCCGCCTCGGCCTCCCAAAGTGCTGGGATTACAGGCTTGAGCCACCGCGCCCGGCTCAGAAATTTATTTTGATGTTGGAAATATAATATTGTCTGGTTAGTTCATCTGAATCCTATGGAAATACTAAGATAATTGTTTAAAATCGTTTTGAAGTTGCATTAAAAATATTATTTCTTGATGAACCTGAAAGGTTGTGGACATTATCTCAGGGGCTTGTAAATGTTATTTCTGATACCTGTAGAATTCTCAAATTCTTTATTTTTGTTTGTTTTTTGGAGACAGTCTCGCACTGTCGCCCAGGCTGTTGTGCAATGGCACAATCTCGGCTCACTGCAACCTCCATCTCCCGGGTTCAAGTGATTCTCCTGCCTCAGCCTCCCAAGTAGCTGAGATTACCAGTGCCCTAGAGTTCTTTTGAATACTCTTCTCTCAGCTTTGAGGCAAACTAAGAAATTGTCATCTGGTTTAGAAAAAAAGAGTATCTTTGGTGTAATAGAAGATGTGATGATGGTTGTTTTCAAATTAAATAATTTAGTTTTATTTTAATTAAATATTCAGAATAATCTGGAAAAATTGAAGAACTGAATCAGTGCAGTTGATTGCGGTATTATATACTCTCCAAAGCTAGGGAGAATCTAGTTTGTGACTCCTGTGGTCCTTTTTTTCATATGGATCTGCGGTGAGCCTCTGTCTGCTGTTTGTTGCAAATATTTGGCGCTGAGCTGACACTTCTGTGCTTTCTGTCTTCAGGAGAATAAGCTAAAGATCTGCATGAACCAACTCTAAAAGTAGCCTTTTACTTGAGTACGCAGTTAATGAACTTTTACTAGAAAACTTTTAGATAGGTCCTCCCTAATTAGAATACGCATACAAATTATGACATTTTCAGTTACTGGTGGCTGTTTTTCTTAAGACTTAGAAAAGGGAGAATTAAGAAATCTCCCCATACAAAGATTATTTTTGTATATTAAGGAATTTTCGTGATAGGTTTTCTGAAGCTAGGCAGACTGAGGTCTGAGTAGCCCCAACCTACATTCAACATATACACGTTCAGAGAAGATATCCTTTCTGATATTGTTTCATCTGTGTTTATACCGAAATGGATAAATCTCATGCTGTTCTGTGAATTATTGATTTAAAGAATATATAGAGAGTACAGGAACATTGCCCAAAAGTTTTAAACAAATTAGATAGCATAGTAATATTGCATTATTTGCTTGAATGTCTTGGAATGAAACATTCCGAGGGGTTTGTATGATTTATTGGTGATGAAGAAGGTTGTGGTATTATGGTAACCCAGGTGCCCAAACTGCAGTGTCTGAAAAGTCCTCACAGAACAGAGGGACATAGAAAAAACCTGTGCCCTTATTCTCTGTGCCTTTCTGTGCAGACTTCAAAACTCCAAGGAAAACCCAAGTCAGTGTCTAAGAGAATACTTGATGACTGAGGAAATCAGATAAGCTTACAACTCTTTAGCCTCTGGTACTTCTATGTTTTTATAGAAGTAGAGCTATAAGCAGGAAGCAGCATTTGATTTTAAATTACTTAATCCTTTTCATATCAGAATAGCATTTGACCTTTGTATTATTTATTTTCTTAGTGAAATCTATTCGAAGTATACCTGCCTACCTTGCAGAGACCCTCTACTATGCTATGAAGGTAAGTTAATACCATGAATCTTATATGTAATACATTTCTCTTTCTAACTATTATTCTTCATCTTTGTTTGTTTTGGATGATAGAGCTTGGGAATTTTTCTCTTCTTATAACATTCAGCCCACTTCTACTAAATTGTTATACTTTATTGATTCACCTGCACCTGGGAGCATTTGATCCTTTATTTGAAGTTTTTAAGCAATGTGCCTCTTTCTTTTTGTTTTTTTTTTTTAAAGGGAGCTGGGACAGATGATCATACCCTCATCAGAGTCATGGTGTCCAGGAGTGAGATTGATCTGTTTAACATCAGGAAGGAGTTTAGGAAGAATTTTGCCACCTCTCTTTATTCCATGGTTAAGGTAGTAGAACCTTTCTTCAAATTATGTTCGGGAATACAAAACAGACCAGTTTGTCGCATGAAAGACAAGGATAGGAGAACCTGATTCTTGTGTTAAGTCTAAAATCTTAGTGGCATGATTAAAGCAATGAGTTAAAAAGCTAAGCATATTTCCTGGAGTAGAGTTGATGGCTGCCAAGTGAAAGCATGGGTATTGATGTGGCTCTTGGTGAACTCAGAAGCATTATTTAATACTGGTGACAGATGACTCAAGGAACCAAACCCCTTGGCTATGATAATAATGTGTTCTTTCTGTCTTTTATCAGTTCCAGCTGTCTTTATTAGTCCTTCTTTTATTTCATGTCAGCTTTTCCTGTCTGTATTGTCTGTTATCACCTTATCTCTGATGCTGGTTCCTAATTCAGGAAAGAGCCAATCAGATCATATTGGGAGTAAGTAAGGAGCTCCTGGGTATTAGTATCATTTTTGTTCTTTTTAAAACAAGGTGTTCTGTGGCCTGTAATTACATTTAGCTTAAGGCCTTTTGACTTTTTTTCTTTTTCTTTTTGGTGAAGGTTAATGTGGACCATGTGCAAAACAATATTTCAATTGAGCAAAAGCTTTTAGTTTAGTGTGCATGTGGTGTGGCTGGCCTGAAGGACACTAGAGAGCTTACCCATGCACTCGTAGCTTGAAACATTAATTTATCATGCATGTGTGCATGTGAGATAAGCAGATGCAAGCATGTCCTGCCTTTCTGTCTCTGAGGCAGAGCCATGACAGCCCCGCAGCCCCAGCACTGCCTATGTTAGCCAATATATGCTAAGTGATAGAAATCTATTTAGAAGGCTTGCTTTAAATATAGTTGTTCAAGTTTCCCTGTTTTTTGTGTTACCAGAGGGAATACTGAGTGTCTGAGGTTACGTTGGTAGGAAACTCCCAGCCTAACATTCCTGATGTGAAGGTCACAGATTACCCACTTGGGAGAAGAGACTTATGAATAAAATTTGTTGCCAGTCATTTGTTAGTTTTAAAATTTTCTATGGCTTCTGTGAGTCATGGAGGTTAATGGAATACATTTGGTTTCAGGGAGATACATCTGGGGACTATAAGAAAGCGCTTCTGCTGCTCTGTGGAGGAGAAGATGACTAATGTGTCACGGGGAAGAGCTCTCTGCTGTGTGCCTGCACCGCCCCACTGCCTTCCTTTAGCACCTCTAGCTGCATTTGTATGCCAGTGCTTGACACATGGCCTTATTCACACTAGCATGCTCTCCACCAACACATACTCATCTTAGAAGAAAATAGTGGTGCTTCCTTCTGATCTCTGGTGGAGATCTCACTATCTCTTCAACTGCTGTAGTATTAAAGTGTACTTATGTTACTAAGTTTAATGCCTGGCCATTTATATTTTTTTCTTTAAGAGGCCAGATTGCTTTTAGCCTTTTTTAAAAACTTCATTTATATTACATTTATAACCATGATACCTTAATCAGAATCTTAGCCTTGAAATTGTGAACTCCTGGAAATGTTATTAGTCAAGTTTGCAACTAAACTAAACTGGCAAAATTATGGTGATTGTATTCAAAAGATTAATGAAAAATAAACATTTCCCCCTGAATTATGTGTGCATGTGTGTTTAGATTTATTGTTAAATTTATGTATTTAACAATGATCTCTTTTTAAGCTAATAATTAACAATGGTGTTAGTTGAGAACTGAATTTACAGTTGGTCTTTTGGGCAATAAGAAATGCAACACCACGGACTGAATTTCCTATTTAGTATGGAAGAGAGGGAAAATTGAAGGAGTTTCCGGTTTATTTGCACCATGTTTATTTAGGTATCTATTAAACCAATGCTTGTGGTGCTACTTGCTTAGTAGAAAAGCTAGTTATAAAACTTAATGCAAAAATTCAAAGTACTACCTTTCTCTTTCCTCTTTCCTATTGTGAACTTCCCCTCCATTTACCATCTGTCACCTTCTTTGAGATAAATAAAAAAGTATTTTTTTTTTTAGAAAGAAGCAGTTTATTGATCTCTTCTAATATTTACCTTTCAGTTTTCTGTTTTCAAATTGCCGTTACAGTTGGTGTCATTTTTTTTTGTACTTATGCCCTTCTCGATGCCTTTTTTTTTAAAGCAAAGTGATTGCCATTAATAAGATTTTTTAAATAAAATGAACTAATATTCCTTTGAAAACTTTAAAATAGTGATAATATTCTTTTCACAACCTTTGATGCTTATCAGAATAACCAGGGGAATCTTAAAAATTGTGTATACATGACATTGGATTTTTTTTTTTTTTGAGAGGCCTCAGGCAATTTTGATATAGAGGCAAGTTGAGAATCAATTGCTTATATTTTTCATATGGAAGATGATATGTTTCAAAGAGTTATGTTCTCTAAAATATACAATGTGTTTTAAATATAAGCCCTGGATTATATAAGTCATAACTTCAAAAGAAATCAACCAGTGAGCTTTAACATTTGCTATATTTTCTGTAGGTCTAATTAATAGATCTGAAAATTTATTAATAAAAGAATAAAAAATTAAAAAACACAAAAACCATTTGCTATATTTATCTACTTAGTGACCTTCTTCCTAGCTCTTTCTGTAAGTTTATTGGGAGACAAGTAAGTTTTTGTGGAACTAGATTTGCTGATTCTAAACGCCATGCAAAAAAAAAAAAAAAAAAAAAAATTGTTTGTAAAACGTAAGAGAGTAGTGAGGGAGCACTATTCTTTACATGAATCAGACTATAGATCCTGAATAGCTGAAACAGCATAATATTGGAGCATGAATAGACAGAAAGATAGACCAAATAGCAAGTTCAGATATGGAAACAAGTCCTTTGGAAATTTAGTATATATTAAAGGTAGGCCTTAATTTGCTGGGTAAAGATAGTGTTTTTTTCTAACAAATGGCATGAAGACATTTGGGCAGCCATCCAGGAAAATATAAGGCTGGTTCTGTACCTCATATGTCAGGTAACTCTCAAAATGAAACAGATGTAAACTTAAAAATCAAATCATAAACATACGAGAAAGAAGCATGGGGGTATTTCATCACAGCTGTGGCTTTTAGGTTCTCTGGGAAGCAGATGCTGAGATGGAGTTAGGGATGCAACAGGTCTATTGAACGAAACAGGCAGAAGGCAGGATTGGGGAAGGGGTGTCATCAGACTGCCCTGCAGACCTGACCAAATCTCCACCAGTCCCATGTGGAACTCTGAGGCAAAGATTTCTTGCAAAGAGCCCTGTGTGAGACAGAAGTGCCTGGGCTCTGTGCCACCACCTTGCTCAATTATTGGCTAAGTGTCTTGTGGAGAAGAGCTTGGCTTAGCTGAAAAGCTGAGGCAAAACTTGAAGGAGATTAAGAGTTGGAAGCTGTCAACAACCCACATTTTTCACAGCTTGAAACTGAGTCTTCTTGAAAGGAGATCTGAGTGGTGCAGTCCCATAACTCCCATAATAATCTTGAAGTGGGAGGCCTTTTTATCACCCAAAATCCAGAAGCCATAGGAGAAAAGATAATTATTTTTGATTATCTAAAAATCAAAAACCACATGAAGAGGGAAGGAAGACCAGGCACAGTTGCTCATGCCTGTAATTCCAGCACTTTGGGGAGGCTGAGGTGGGTGGATCACTTGAGCACAGGAATTTGAGACCAGCATGGGCAACATGGCAAAACCCCATTTTTATTTAAAAAAAAAAAAAAAAAAAAAAAAAAAAAACAAAATTAGCCAGATGTGGTGGCACACACCTGTGATCCCAGCCATTTGCGAGGCTGAGGTGAGAGGATTGCTTGAGCTCGGGAGGACAAGGCTGCAGTAAGCCTGGAAGGAGGGAAGCAGGGAAAAGAGGAGGAGGGAAGAAGGGAAGGAGGGAAGGGAGGGGGGAGGGAGGGGGGAGGGAGGAGAGGGAGGAAGAGAGGAAGGGAGGAAGGGAGGGGGGAGGGAGGAGAGGGAGGAAGAGAGGAAGGGAGGAAGGGAGGGGGGAGGGAGGAGAGGGAGGAAGAGAGGAAGGGAGGAAGGGAGGGGGGAGGGAGGAAGGGAGGAAGGGAGGAAGGGAGGGGGGAGGGAGGAGAGGGAGGAAGAGAGGAAGGGAGGAAGGGAGGGGGGAGGGAGGAGAGGGAGGAAGGGAGGAAGGGAGGGGGGAGGGAGGAGAGGGAGGAAGAGAGGAAGGGAGGAAGGGAGGGGGGAGGGAGGAGAGGGAGGAAGAGAGGAAGGGAGGAAGGGAGGAAGGGAGGGAGATGACCGCCAAGGAAATTTAAAGGACAAATGAAAAACTGGGGAAAATATTTGCAGTTCATACAACAAAGATCTAGTCTCCTTAGTACATGCAGACACACCTTGTTTTATTGTACTTTGCCAATAATTTTTTCTAACTGAATTGTTAAGTTTGTAGCAACCCTGCATCTAGTCAGTCTATCAGCACCATTTTTCCAACAGCATGTGCTCACTATATCTGTGTGTCACATTTTGGTAATTCTTGCAATATTTTAAACTTTTTCATCATTATTATGTATCTTATCTTTGTACATAATAATATGTGATCAATGATCTTCTGTGTTAGTATTATAATTAAGGTGCCATGAACCATGTCTATTGAAGGCAGTGGGCTTAATGGACAAATATGTGAGTTCTGACTGCTCCACCAACTGGCTGTTCCCCCATCTCTCTCATTCTGTCCCTCTCTCTCTGGTCCTCCCTATTCCCTGAGACAACACAATGTTGTTAGGCTAATTAATAAGCCTGTAATGGCCTCTACGTGTTCAAGTGAAAGAAAGAGACTCACACATCTCTTACTTTAAATCAAAAGTTAGAAATGATTCAGCTTTGTGAAGAAGACATGCCGAAAGTCAAGGCAGGCTGAAAGCTAGGCTACCAGTGCCAAATAGCCAAATTGTGAGTAAATGTAAAGGAAAAGTTCTTGAAGAATATTAAAAGTGCTACTCCATTGAACACATAAATGGTTAAGACAGTGAAATAGCTGTATTGCCGATACAAAGAAAATTTGAGTGGTCTGGATAGACGATCAAAGCAGTCACAACATTCCCTTAAGTCAAAGCCTACTCCAAAGGAAGATCCTAATTCTTCAGTTATACGAAGGCTGAGAGGTGAGGAAGCTGCAGAAGAAAAATTGGAAACTAGCGGTTTTGGTTCATGAGGTTTAAGGAAGGAAGCTGTCTCTGCAATAGAAGAGTACAAATTGAAGCAGAAAGTGCTGATGCAGAAGCTGCAGCCAGTTCTCCAGATGACCCAGCTAAGATAATTGATAAAGGAGGCTACACTAAACCACAGATTTTTAATGTAAACAAAACAGTCTTCTATTAGAAGATGCCATTTATATCTAGAGAGGAGACATCAACACCTGGCTTCAGCTTCAAATAGCAGGCTGACTCTCTAGGGGCCAATGCAGCTGGTGACGTTAAGTTGAAGCCAATGCTCATTTACCATTCCCCAAACCCTAGGGCCCTTAAAAATCATGCTAGATCTACTCTGCCTGCATTCTATAAATGGCACAACAATTCCTGGATGATAGCACATCTGTTTATAGCATGGTTTGCTGAATATTTTAGCCCACTTTTGAGATCCACTGCTCAGAAAAAAAAATTCTTTTCAAAATACTTCTGTACATTCACAATACTCCTTGTCACTTGAGAGCTCTGACGAAGATTTAGGAGGACCTGAATGTTGTTTTCAGTTCTGCTAACACAACATATATTCTGCAGCTCATAGATCAAGAAGTAATTTCAACTTTTAAGTTTTATTAAGAAATAAATTTTATAAGGGGATAACTGCCATAGATACATGATTGCTTTGATGAATCTGGACAAAGGAAATGAAAACCATCCTGGGAAAGATTCACCATTTTAGATGCCATTGATTTGGTGTGTGCTTTATATATATATATACATTTTCTATATAAATATCAGATATATATACCTAATACAAACACAGTGGCTTAAACTATCATAAATGATTATCTTATAGTTCTGAAAGTCAGAAGTCCAAAAATTACTATTACTGGACCAAAGTAGAGGTGTGGGCAGGACCATGTTCTTTTCCGTGTGCTCTCAGGAACATCTATTTCCCTGCCTATTTCAGCTTCTGGAGACTGCACACATTCCTTAGGTTATGGCCCTCCTCTATCTTCAAAGCCAGCAATTGGTTAACTCTGACATTGGCTTTCTGTCACCATATCCCCTTCTCTGAAAGACTCTCCTTCCTCCCTCTCTCTCTTTTGAGGAACTTGTGATTAAATTCAACCCACTTGGGTAATCCAAAATAATTTCCTCATCCCAAGATCACATTTGCAAAATCCCCTTTGCCATGTAAGATCGCACATTCACAAGTTTTGGGAACTACGACAAAGATGTTCATACATCTTTGTGGGTGAGGAAAGCTTTTTCTGCTTAGCATAGATCATTTCAAGAACCATGATTTTGTAGCATACACACCATTTTATTTTTGTTAGGGTAAAAGTGATGCTCATTCCAACTTTCTATGTCTTAGGCAGAAGTACAACCTCCAAACAATATGCCTTCAGTTAATTTAGATGAGATGGATGAGGCAAAACAATTTATTACTTGATTTAGAACTTAATTTTAGTTATCAA